TACCTGAATATCCGTCATCTGGTAGGTTGTTTGCCCCCAACAATTCCTTTATTCCTTCTGCTTCTCCCTCCAATGCTGTGGTTCTAAAGGGAACTTCCAATTCTAATGCCACAGACTCCTGGTGACAAGTGTAGGCTCCTGGTCTAGCCTAGTTATCATAACCATCCCCATGTGCACTCTAATGGGTCAGAAATGGATTGCCATCAACTCAGAACGGTAAGTATTTTTCTTAAGTAGTTTCCCATCAGCGAAGGCAGAGAACAATTCTGTTTCCCTAGTCTTGGAGTTAATAAGATGTGAGCAGAAGCTGCCTATGACAGTGGGTTCAAACTGATGAGAAAAGACAGAGAAGTAAATCAAGTACTTGATTTACTAGTGAGAAACAAAGAAAGCGCGAGAGAGAAATGAGGGGGAAGGAGTGGAAGAATGGAGGGAAGAGTACTGGCAAGCCAACACTGTGTGTAGGCATTGGAACTAGTTGTTTCCAAACTAATTCTTCCTACTCATTCCCATGATTTTGCTTATAAGAACTAACACGTTCCCTATTTTTGGCTTAAACTAATTTGAATTATACAGCTTGACCTAAATACCATGGGGATCAGCATGTAAAATGGACAGCTATTGGCACTCCTACACTGGTTTTAAATCTTGACCTAGATGCTTACTAGCTGACTAAATTGGAGAAGTTACTTCATTTCTTAGAATCTCCACTTTCTCAGCTGTACAATGGGGATAAAGCGTTTCGGCCTGGTGTTAATGAAACAATGACACAACATAAAACACACTTATTTAACAAAGCGCCTAGTTATAATCTTTTCTTTCTTTACACTTTTAGTGCTTTCTTTTTTCTATGTCCTTCAGAGCTTTCCAACATTCCCTCCAGCTGGCATTCTTGAGAAACATCTGTTCAGCTAGAACTTGCAGAGTGACTTTAGAAGCTTCTGTTCTGGTGGTGACTGTTCAGCTTTCCTCAACCAAACCACAAGCAGCCATGGTCAGCTGTACACACGAAAGCACACCATAACATTTTCTCCACTTTGTCATTCTCGTTTGCCTCTACACTCGGATCGATGACCCATGAATATTTTACTGGAAACTCAACCAGGAAAGCGAACTGTGTATAGAAGATATTTCTGAGCATGGGCATTTACAACTGTAGAACACAGTCTGAAGAAGTGTTAGAGAAACACTGGCAACCAAATTATTTTATAACTGAAGAAGGAAAGATAAGAAGAAAGGAAAAAAATATTCATAAGAAACTTTATATATGTTATATATGCTTTTTTTCAGTCCATTCACCTTAAGAAGTAAATATTATTACCAAATTTGGTTAGTGTGAAAACTGGTCTGAGAGGTCAAGTGATCCGCCCAAGAACGCATGGTTACGAATGGAAGTGGTTATGTGTCTTACTCTAGAGAGCATGCCCTTCCACTAGACTGCTTTTGGACTTGAACCGGGGTCAGACATCTGGGAGACCAGTGACGTAACCACTACACCATCTGCTGCTTGCAGTGGTAAGTCTTAAAAAGAGAGATTTTTTTCAACCAAAGGGCTTCTTGGGAAGAAAAGAGGAGGATAAAAATGAAATCTGAAATTGGGTTTGTGATATATTTCTTAGCTAAATAGTTGAGCTCTACTTGTGTCCCCCTTCTTTCTTATGACTTCACGGTTTTATAAAATAAATTCCACTTAAGTTTAGGGAACATTGGTCCTTCAATCTTGCTCTTAAAGCCTACAAAATTGCATCTGAAGCTTTCGAAGGGACTAAGTGAAATGTTGCCACGTGGAAATTGTAATGTCTCCTAGAAATGGGAAAGGTCTGTTCTAATTTCACTCTTTCTTAGCATGCAGTCACTTTCTACATTTAGCTCTTCTTGTTATTAAATCACTGGTATTCTCTTGTAACATCAACACCCGTGAAAAGAATTTATTTATGAGAGCAGTTGGAGTGGGAGTGGGGAGCAGCAGAGACTCTTAAAAGCAAGGAACTAGAATTTTGGTTTTTAGTTATTTTTCTTTCTCCCTTGTCCCTCTCTTTCTCTCCACTTACCAACTCCCCTCTATCCCGACACATGCGTACACTCTCACATTTTTATATTAACATCTTTTTATATTAACAGATTCGGCTGTGCACATTCTTCAACATATCTCATTATTTTGCTTGGAAATTGTTTTCCAACTTGTTTATGTTTTGGGATAATTTTTCCACATATAGACCTGTATGTAATACACTTATCTCAAGCCAAAATTTCATATTACTTTGCAAATTAAAATATTCTATTTATTTAATCTTACTAATAGCTATCATCATTATCTAGATGCTTTTAGAATACAGCATTTTATTTATGCATTTTTGAAACAGTTCTTTTAAAAAAAGATTCATTAGTATCATGCCGTAAAAGCTTAGATTCTAGAGACAGATCTTCCTGGGCTTAAACTCTTCTTTTCCCACTTCTGGTCATAAGACCTGGACTAATTTTAATTATCTATATTGTCAGTTTTCTCATCTGTAAATTGGGAAAATATTAGTGACTATGTCATAAGACTTCTAAGAGAGTCAAATGAGACTACAGATAGAAAATACCTATCAAAATGGCTGGAATAGGGAACTGGCAGTTAGCGTAATGGCTATGTCGCTGGACTCTCACGTAGTCAACCGTGGTTCACATCCCAGACCTGGTAGCTTAAAACTCACGCCAGGCGCATGTGTGTGTGTGCCCAAGATCCCGAGAGGAGAATGGAGGAGAAGGGATTGCAGCGTGACCATCCCCCATGGGGGGTGATTTCTCGCTTTCTCTTTCTATGTCTCTGTCTGGCGAGCGCACGCACCCTATAGTGAAAATCTCTACAAAAAAAAAAAATGGCTGGAATGTAGTACATGCGTTATCATAGCTATCTTCCTTCATTATCTTCTTCTTCATCATCATTATAATGTGAAATAATTGGTAACAGAGACATATAAGATGGAAAAAAGATATATATTGTCTTAGTCCATTTCTGTGCTATAACAAAATATGTGAGACTAGGTAATTTATGCTAAATAAGAATTGATGCTCCACAGTTCTGGAGGCTGAAAAGTCCAAGTTCAAGGTACTAGCAGGTTTGGTGCCTGGTGAGGACTGATTTCTGCTTCAAGGATCTTGTTGCTGCAATCTCTGTCAGGGAAGAATTAGGTCTTCACATGGTGTAAGGTGAGAGGAGAAAGGAGAGAACTTTTGTGAAGTCTTGCTTATAAGACAATACCATTAAAGAAAGTGGAGCCCTCATGACTTAGTTATCTCCTAAAGGTTCTACTTCTTTTTTTTTTTTTTTCTTTTTGGTGGTTTGATTTTTTAAAATTTTGTTTTGTGTTACTTTATTTTATTTCATTTTTCCTACATTTAATTACTGTCCATCTTTACAGCATATAAAATTAACCTTTCCAGCATGAATATACTGTATGTTATTTCAGTCCAAAATGCTTACTTCTTAATACTGTCACACTAAAAATGAAGTTCTTTTTTTAAATAGTTTTTATTGGGGCCAGTAGGTGGTGTGATGATTAAATAGCTGGACTCCTATATGGCCAACCGTGGTTTGATTCCTGGATCTAGCAGCTTGACAATCACACCAGGTGTATGTATGTGCAAGCCTGAAATCTCAGGAAGAGAGTGAAGGAGAAGGGATTGTGGCATGGCCACTCCCCCAGGGGGGTGATTTCTCATTTCCCCTCTCTCTGTCTCCCTTGGGCAAGAGCATAGGCTCTACGGAAAAACCTAAAAAAAGCTTTGATTACCCCTCTCTCTGTCTCCCTTGGGCAAGAGCATGTGCTCTATGGAAAAACCTAAAAAAAAGCTTTTATTCCATTTCTGATTAACATACATTAGTTGTATATCTTTGTGGGGTACAGTGTGTTTTTCAAAGCGTGTATATGGTATATGATAATCAGATCAAGGAAACAAATGTATTTACCATCTCCATTCAATGTCATTTGCATTGTGCTCATTTGAAATTTGCTATACTGGTTATATGGAAATATATATTAAATTCTCGGCAATGTTCTTTTCTCTACTCTCCCATACCATTCCATACCCATATATCCATTTGTTCACAAGCACTTGTGCCTGTTCACCAAGTTTTCCCATCCTCCTCACCTCCACCTCCTTTCCGGCTTCTGGTATCCACCATTACACTCTCTACTTAGATCAGTTGATTCCTTTAGCTTCTGCTACAGAGTGAGGACGCACAGTATTTGTTAAGG